TCTCTTTCTCTTTCCCTCTATATAATTCCTTTCTATCTCTTTCTCTTTCCCTCTATATAACTCCTTTCTATCTCTTTCTCTTTCCTTCTTTATAATTCCTTCCTATCTCTTTAAGCTTTTTTTCTCTTTATAACTCCTTCCTATCTCTTTCTCTTTCCCTCTTTGTAATTCCTTCCTATCTCTTTCCCTCTATATAATTCCTTTCTATCTCTTTCTCTTTCCTCTATATAACTCCTTCCTATCTCTTTCTCTTTCCTTCTTTATAATTCCTTCCTATCTCTTTCTCTTTTTCTCTTTATAACTCCTTCCTATCTCTTTCTCTTTCCCCTCTTTGTAATTCCTTCCTATCTCTCTTTCCTCTATATAATTCCTTTCTATCTCTTTCTCTTCCCCTCTATATAACTCCTTCCTATCTCTTTCTCTTTCCTTCTTTATAATTCCTTCCTATCTCTTTCTCTTTTTCTCTTTATAACTCCTTCCTATCTCTTTCTCTTTCCCTCTTTGTAATTCCTTCCTATCTCTCTTTCCCTCTATATAATTCCTTTCTATCTCTTTCTCTTTCCCTCTATATAACTCCTTCCTATCTCTTTCTCTTTCCTTCTTTATAATTCCTTCCTATCTCTTTCTCTTTTTCTCTTTATAACTCCTTCCTATCTCTTTCTCTTTCCCTCTTTGTAATTCCTTCCTATCTCTCTTTCCCTCTATATAATTCCTTTCTATCTCTTTCTCTTTCCCTCTATATAACTCCTTCCTATCTCTTTCTCTTTCCTTCTTTATAATTCCTTTCTATCTCTTTCTCTTTCCCTCTTTAAAATTCCTTCCTGATTCTTTCTCTTTCTCACTTTATAATTCCTCTCTTTCACCGTGTAATTTTTACTACTTTATAATTTAAAAAATAGTGTTATATATATATATATATATATATATATATATATATATATATATATATATATATATATATTCATTTGATGCTACATTTCTGCTAATGGAACACATTCTCCCAAGATCTACCCCCCGACATTTCTGTGAGTAATAGTCTTCATGAACAAGTGTATAATTCGAAGTCAGGGAATTATTCTATGAAAAGGAAGAGACTGTTAACATTTTTGTCATCGTCAGAATTGGGATACCAATCATGCACCCACGCATGCGCACTCACTTTCGCAAGAAATATGATCCAAGCTTCCTGTTATAGACCTTTTAAAAAATTGTTGCTATACTCATAATTAATCTGTTTTAGTGTTGGTTGTATTTTTCTTATATAGAAGGCTTCAGGTCTTTGATGGTTTTGTTATTTTTTTATTTTCATGGTGGTGTATACATGTATTGTTAATTAATATTTATCCAAATCGTGAATGTGGACAGGGATCTTCCTTTAAAAGTTGTGCAATAGAATTTGAATCCGACAAATGTAATGTAAGTCTCTTCAATAATGGTGTTGCTGTGAAACCAATATATATTTACCTTTTTGTCAGAGATACCAAAGGACATTATAATTGATATATAATGTTGGTCTTTCACAAAACGTTAATTGACGGAAAAGAGTTATTGCGGATAATTAAATTCGTTGTATTAAATTTAGTATAGTATATAATTAGTTTTATGTTTTTATTGGGATCAGTGGGGGATATATTAGTACTTATGAGGGTTTTTTTTTAGGATTTTTTCATCTATTTCGTATTTAAAGTGTAATTGATTGCGGTAGAGTAGGTTGATATGTGTAGGGTTATTTGAGAAAGTATTATATTTTTTTATTCATATTAATATTTCTAATAGTTCGTCTAATTTGTTCATCAACAATGTAATTAGGAAAGTCATTGTTAATCAGTTTCTTTAATGTTTTTTCATTTCAGTGTAGAAAATTGTTATTAACTTTTGTATAATCGCTATTTTGTCATAGGACATTCACTTTTATAGTTAAGAGTGCACGTGTTTATCCTCGTTATTTTTTAAATGGTGAAATGTATTATTATTTGTATTTAACAATATATCAAGAAAAGAAATTTTACTCTTAATGTAGATATGCTGCCTATATATATATATTAAAACATTTTTATGTTTATACATTCTTTTTATAGATACAAATATTTAAGTAAATGCTCTGTTTATAATAAACAGTATTAAACAACATTTACCGGCCTGAATGTCCGAGAAATTTTCACAGAAAATATTCGTGCTCCGACAGAATTCGAACCTGTATCCTATACGGAAGCGTCATTTAGCTTGACGTGCCTTTAACGATTAGTAAGGTCGAATTTACTGTATCGAAACTTCAATCTTCCATGAATCTCTCCCGTACATTCATATCTGCTCATGGCGTATCAAATGTAAACAAATGACGTCACACATTATGAAATGTACAATGTCCGACAATTATTTTTTTTTAATTTTTATACCTTAAAATAATTGTCGTACTTTGTCCATTTCATAATATATATATATATATATATTTTTATATATATATATATATATATATATATATATATATGGCACTTTTATGACAGAAGACTACTTTTTTAAGCATAATCTTTTTAGAGCTGCTTATTTCTTCCTGGATTTATATATGCACTAACGGGAATTTCGTTGTCCAGTCCAGTAGAACACTTTTTTGACATGAGGCTTCAGCTCCTATATCACGGCGCTAGTTTCACTTGTTATTGAGCACTTTCATTTGCCATGCTGGAAAGACTTTCCAGGTAGAATTTTTTTTACGGCCATTTTATATCTTGGCTGGAGATTTATAATAGTATATTACCCATTGAAATAAAATGAATTCTTGTAATCCCAGTTCCATCTTCATCAATTTTCGTATCTGTACGTTCTTCAGTTGATTATCGTAATCTATAAACTCTTACAGAGATGTCCTTAATTAATTAACGGGTCAATGGATGTGCAGGTTTCACAGAGGCTATTGTCACGTAAAGTTGAATCGGCATGCCGAGTTCAAATTCCCCCCCCCCTGTGAGAATACACCACGCGCATATCCTTGGTCCATATCTTCTCCCCACCAGCTGGGGGTTTAAATATTACGTTCCTCTCTCACCCGGTTTACACACTTCTCCGGTATTTTGAACAGGAGGTGTTTAACCCTAGATTCCTTATTAGGACAGGGTTTCCGGTTTCTACAAAAGTTCTCTTTCACTCCAAGTAGCTCCTTGCGTCATAGTGACATTATCGCCTTGTTTCGGATGATTAAAATTTGCTCTCTAGATTTGTGCGGCGGCTCGTGTAGAAGAAGACAGGAAAGCACTAATTCAAATCGGCTGATTCTTCACCAGCTGTTGCTGGAAGGGAAGTAGTTACGGTGGATCCGGAAACTGTGCAACCTCTTACTCACAGATGAATAAATGAACACACACCGTTTTCTGAAATGAGCAACCATCATCTCTTGGGAAGGGTAACTATCTGTTGTAGTGTAGGACTCCACGTACTTCTTGCTTTTCCTTACTCCTGTGGCAATGAACTGTTCCTAGTTATAAATATGGCAAGTAGTCACATTAGAGTAGGATTTGAGTAGTATTTGATTTACTCAAGTATTTCTGTTCTTTGTGTGAGTATTTAATAAACCTCTTCTTTGTTTCCTCTATTTGATCGTTTGTTCCTTCGATACTCTAACTAAGGCCTTCCTAATTCTTGGCTATTTTGGACAAAGATAATATTACTGCACTTTGTTATGTATCCAATTCCATTGACATACATCCACCTGGGGTTTAAATATTAGGTTCATCTATCACCTGTTTCCGACTACTCTCCGGTGTTTTGAACAAGGGATGTTTAACCCTAGATCCCTTTTTAGGACTGGGTTTCCGGTTTCTCCTAATACCTTCTCATTCTCTCACTCCACGTAGCTCTTTGCGTCTTAGTGGCCTTATCGCCTTGTCCGGGATGAAATGATTAAAATTGGCTCTCCAGCTTTGTGTGGCGGTCAGTGTAGAAGAATACGGAAAAACACTGAATTCAAATCGGTTAAAACAGTGGAACTGGTTCTTCACCAGTTGTTGCTGGAAGGGAAGTAGTAACGGTGGACCCAGAAACTGTGCAACCTCTTACCCACAAATAGATAATTAAAAACACTCTAGCACACACCGTTTACAGCCATCATATCTTGGGAAGGGCAACTACCTGTTGTAGTGTAGGACTCAACGTATTCCCTCTCTTTCTAGCTACTGTGACAATGGACTGATCCTACTTATAAATATGGCAAGTAGCCACATTAGAGTAGTATTTGAGTAGTATTTGATTTACTCATGTCTTTTCGTTCTATGTATGAGTATTTAATAAGCTTCTTTGTTTCTTATACCTAGTTTTCTGTTCCCTCGATACTTTCTGTAAATACGGGCTTCCTAATACGCGGCTATTTTGAACAAAGACGACATTACAACACGGAGATTAAATAGCGGTATGGCAAAGGCTTTTGTAATCTGTCTTTTATGTAGAATTCTGTTGCAGAATATATTCATCTAAGGTAAAAGGAGCGAGAAAGATAGGGAGAGTGAAAAAAGCGTTCAGGAAGACAGCTAAAGATCTGGAGAGTGAAATACTAGAAGAAGAAGAAGAAGAAGAAGAAGAAGAAGAACAACAACAACAACAACAACAACAATAATAATAATAATAATAATAATAATAATAATGATGTATTTGTTTACTTATTTGTTTAGGCCGGCTGTTCTACCATTCCAGATCTGAAGGAATGGTGGCCTGGAAGACAGTTGCTGCCGTTCGACGTCTGAATAGTTGCTAATTGTGTTTCCAGATGTCACATCTTGGATCGACTGGCAGCGTCGGGGGTCAGGTCGTTTTGTGGGAGTGTGGGCTGATATCTAAGCTATTTTTGACTTCCACGCAAAACCTGACTCGTGTGGGCGAAAAATGCCGAATCATCAGTACACGAAAGATGACGGCCACTAAACACAACTCCAGCAAAGATATTAAAACATATCAAGACGAGGCGTTTTTTTTCTGTATATAAGATTGAAAAATGTCAGGAGGCATATTCGAAAATGGAACGGAAGAAAAAAAGACCATTAATACTTTTGCGCAAATGTGCGTGTATGTGCGAAATGCAGAGAAGGAAAAAAAAGCCTGGAAATAAACCGACTGACACACACGCACACGCACACATATACTGAAATAGACAGACAAAGATATACTTATGAAGAAAATCATTATGAAATGTATTTTGTTAAAAAGTATGTCATTTTAAGCGTGAGTGCTTTGATAAATATGACAATCCTTGCAATGAAACATATTTCAAAAAGAATTTTCTGGTGAAATCTATCTATCTATCAATCTATCTATTTTGACTTCGTTTTTTCCTTTCTAGGTCTATTCATATTTATCACTATTGTGAAACTCTATCTATCTATCTATCTATCTATCTATCTATCTATCTATCTATCTATCTATCATAGTCTGTTCATATATATCTGTCGCAGTCTGTTCATCTATCTATCTATCTATCTATCTATCTATCTATCTATCTCAGCCTTTTCAGTATCTATCTATCTATCTATCTCAGCCTTTTCAGTATCTATCTATCTATCTATCTCAGCCTTTTCAGTGTCTATCTATCTATCTATCTATCTATCTATCTATGTTTGTCCGTATTTATCTGTTGTTCCTATCTACTTCAGTCTATTCTATCTATCTATCTATTCTGTCTTCGTTTCTGTCTGTTCATATTTACCTCTATTGTAAAAATCTACCTCAATCTATCTATCTATCTATCTATCTATCTATCTATCTATCTATCTATCTATCTTTTTTTTTCTTTCTTTCTAGGTCTGTACGTATTTATCTCTATTGTTCAAATTTTCTTCAGTCTATGCATATCTATCTATCTATCTATCTATCTATCTATCTATCTATCTATATTCTTTCTTTCTTCATTTTTTCATTCAAGATCTGTTCATATTTATCCTTGTTGTGCAAATCTACCTCAATCTATTCATATCTATCTATCTATCTATCTATCTATCTATCTATCTATCTATCTATGTCTGTCCGTATTTAGCTCCAATGTTCATATCTATTTCAGTCTATTCATATCTATCTATCTATCTATCTATCTATCTATCTATCTATCTTTTTTCTCTTTAGGTCTGTCCGTATTTATCTCTATTGTTCATATCTATTTCAGTCTATTCATATCTATCTATCTATCTATCTATCTATCTATCTATCTATCTATCTATCTATCTATCTATCTCAATCTTCTGTCTATCTATCTATCTATCTATCTATCTATCTATTCTTTCTTTCTTTCTTTCTTTCTTTCTTTCTTTCTTTCTTTCTAGGTCTGTTTCTATTACTATCCTAAATCAAGCTTTCCTAGTAGTTGAAGTAGGTCTTTGTGTTCTGCCTTATCACCCATTTTTTTCTGCTCTTTGAAAAATAGCTCTCGGTCTTTCTGCATTTGTATTTCATGCGCTGATGCTGTCACCATATTCCTCATGAGACTGTTCTAAACACACCGAGTGTCAAATTATTTATTTTTGTTATTTGCTTAAAGGTCATGAAAGGCGACCATTAAGCTCGATGTCAAGTTGACTCCTATTTATCTATAGAACTGCCATTATAATTATTTGTAAATATAAAGTAAATTAGAAAACCCTCTCTACCTGCAATTAGAATGTCTGATACTCAACTCCACGATAGCAACTTTCTGCGACTGCTTGGTATCACATTGTCCACTGACCTAAGATGGAACAAATACATTGAATCAATAGCTTCATCTACTGCAAGGAAGGTTGGTTCTCTGTGTCGTGTCAGAAAGTTTTTCTCGCCTGAGTCCATCCTTCAAATCTATAAATCCACCATGCACCCTTGCATGGGATACTGATGCCATATATGGTCTGAAGCCCCCACTGTTTGTCTTAAGGTCCTCGACAAAATCCAGAGACGGATATGCAATGTCATTGACCCTGATCTGTTATCTCGATTACAGTCGCTCTCTCACAGACGTGCCGTTCCTTCCCTCTGTCTTTTCTGCAAATACTTTGCATCGACGAGCTACTTTCGCTGGTTCCCAAACTGCATGAATTTAAACGTGTTGGCATCTCAGTCCCACCCTTTCACTGTCGAAACGGTTATATGTAGCCGTCTCTTCTACTCCAATAGCTTCATGTCTCGCACTTCCCGTCTGTGGAACTCCCTTCCTCTTACTTGCTTCCCTGATAGTTATAATCTTCAATTATTCAAATGCAACGTCAATGGATATCTTCAGATGTCTTGATCTAACTCCCCGTCTTTCTCTTCATCCTTTCCTCTATCATGCCTCTTTAATCTTGCTCCCAATCTCTGTAACCCTTTGTGTGCTAATGGCACTCCCGCCTAACTTGTGGTGAAATACTTAAAATAAAAAATAAAAAATAAGGTGAATTATTATGCAATTATCAGTTTTACCTCTCTATCAAATATTTTATCCAACATGCAATGTCTATCGATAAAAACTACACATCAGATTAAAAGACAATGTATGGTTGTCAGCAAAAGGAACAGCTCAACATGCAAATTTCCAATTGGGGGATGCCAAAATCAAGCAAGTACAAAAATTTTGATATCTAGGAAGAGTTTTAACAGAGGGCGAAAAGTTTGACACTGAAATCTGAAGGCGAATTTGGATAGCAAAAGACGAACATGTTCATAGAAATAAAAAAAAAGACTATTAAACTGTTACGTAATGTCAGTTTTATATGACAGTGCATGCTAGGCAATCTCCACACAGAGGGCGAAAAAACTTGAAGCTAGGGAAGCAACAAAAAGGACACATAACGTCGGAAAGAAACCGTTGTAATTTCTAGGGCACCTAATGAGAAAAGAGGGCTTAGAAAATTTGGCATTCATACAACATAATGAAGTCAAGAGGTAAAGAAGAAAACAGCGCGTAAGCTAATTAACGAGCTTGTGTAAATAGATAGCAGAATACGGTTTAGGAGAGATAACAAAAAGAAACAAAATGATTAAGAGCTACAAAGGACAGGAAATAATGGTCAATGCCTTAAATGGATACGACACATAAAAAGAAGAAGAGTATTAATACATCATTTATATTATTCGGCGCATTACGGGCGTCCGGCGACAATGAACGAAGGCCTTCGACGAAATTACGCATTTAACGATTCGACGGACTTACGCACTTACCTTATTTGTCGCCATATTTATTACAACGTTTCGACCTTCTTCAGGTGGTTGGAATGTCGAACTGAACTCTTTATTTCGCTCACTGGGGTAGACTGTTCTAATTCCACGTGCCATGTTTAATGGATGTCATTTATCAGCTATCTCCTTAATTTCCCTCTGAAAGTTCTCCACTGCCTTAACCAGATATTGAACTCACACTCTTTGGGTCCTGTCACTGGATCTAACTAACGCTTTTATCCACTGTGGCATGTGTCCATGTGTCCTTGTGTATGAATTTCTGGGTATTATAAACCTAATGTCGTCAACAACCATGTTTTACCAGTGCTCATATTGCAATTTTTTTTTCTGGTATAGCGACAAAGATGAGGACAATAGTCCGAATAATGTAAATAATGTATATAATACCTCATCTCAGAAATATAGACAGATACTGAAGAGTATTAATAATTTACAGACCAAATGTCTACGTTAATGAGAGAATTCTTGGAAAATTTTCCATATGGTTTCTAGTGACATGAAAAGACCATTGGAAAGCTTGTGGAAAATAGTCTTAACCCTTTAAGCCCTGACCACCGATTTACCGGTGGCAGAGAAAATGACGTAATGCCCAGCCAGCGGTTGAACGGTGGGTAAACACTTGTAACTATGTTTATATCTACCGTGAAACATGACATACCAATTATTTACGAATTTTGACTCAGGAGCTCAGGCAGATGGGCTAAAATTGTTCAGGAAGGTAAGGCTCAGAGGGTTAATGTTGACTGGACTTTGGTCGATTAGTATAAAATTGTCACAGGGAATCTACGAAAGTCTCTCCTGAATTTGAAAGTCGTTATCAATTATTAATTGTCTGCCAAAAAGTAGATCACACTAACATTTGTCTTTTTTTTATATAAATTATAACCATGGAATATTAGTGTTTTGAGCCATATATATATATATATATATATATATATATATATATATATATATATATATATATATATATATAGCAGCATGGCCTATTGCTCGTGCTTGATTTAAAAATCGTACGTCTCATACAGCAATCGTTATCACTTGACTTAAAATATTTTTGCCCTTCCTTGCCTTTAAAGGAGTGCCCTTTGCCGTGCTGATGTTGCTACATGCCTTACTTCTTGCCTATCACACACTGCAATTTTTTTCTAAGCTCTAAACTAAACATTTAATCTGTTATGAAAAAAGAACTAGACAAAATGAATACAAAACGATCAGCTTTAAAAAGGGACACGTAACTGGAAAAACCGAATGAAAAAAGAATGTTAACAACAAATACTTTTCACACCCAACCTGGTTCTGTGGAATCAGAATCAACGTTGAGTTTCAGCAAGCGAATGAGCCAATTGGAGTAAAGTGCCATGCAGATTTCAATTTTTCTCACTTGTGACGAATGCAGCTATCGATTTTTTTTGCATGCTAGTTAACATTCGTGTCAGTCAGCTGTTGGCTCTTGCGCTAGCCAATAGAATCTTCCTGCCTATTCGTGGCAGCCAGCTATAGGGTCTCACTCTGGCCAGTAGAAAATAGCCGCAAACTACATGAAAACTGCTGTAGAAGCATGTAAAAATCGATTATTTCCACTATTGATGGGAGTTGGGAAATGAAAAGTCGGTCTTGGCCTTCCTGATAACTTTGAGCATGTACATGTAAATTTTGGTGCAAATCCGTCGAAAATTGAGGCCGTGCATTCGTTCACACACACACACACACACACACACACACACACACACACACACACACACACACCCTGCCTTTTATAGATAGAGATTAATTCTTATTTTTTAAATTTTCAGTTATTGCTTTTGTTGTGTTTTTAAGAGTATTTTCTTTTGTGAATTCCTCACATGCTGACGACATTCGAAAGACTGTAGCTTCATTATTTTTCCTTATCTGACCTTGACTGTTGAAGCGCTCATATCTTTTCCATTTATTTTTCTTGTTCTTGATCGGCGATTTTTTCTTTATTTCTCATTTCTTGTTTTCTCGTTTGTAATCTCCTCACTTCTTAATTGTCCTGTTCAGAGCAAAAGTCTTAAAGGCGCCATAATCTGACATCGGAGATTAAGAATTATCATAGGGCGGATTTAAATAATCTTTAGATTTTTCCGACCGTTTTTACAACTATACCCCACCACCCATCCTCGGCTTAGGGAGATTTCCAATACTGAGGTTTTTCCTGAGACTAGCATGATATTCTTCCTCGTCGTTTTGGCCCTCTTCGTCATCTCCATTTAGGAAAGCAAAAATCTATTTCTCCGCGATCTTTTTCGTCGGCGTTGTCTTATTCATCTTCCATTTTGTCTTTTAATTCCGGTCTTTTTGTTATCGGGATGGAAGCAAAATAAATGGCTGTTTTGAACCACGGACTTTTAAATATTGTAAATCGGCTCAAACACAAATTTAAGTCAAAGCAAGCACCATTGAAATCAAAACAATGTTGACAATGATCTCGCGGTAAATTTATTCCATCATGATATAAACTCGGCTCAAGAGAGTCCATAAATTACCAGAAGGCATTTCTGACCAGGTTCACATTATAGCCTGTGTTTAAAATCTTGCAAGATTGTTGAACCCAGAATAAATTTGATGGTTATCATATTTGGTATCCCAGAAAAACTTTGTTGTGAGGATTATCACACGTTGTTTGAAAGGACACTACTAAAGAGGTTTACTATTCAAGACTATAAAAGGATCAGACATTTGAACTCTATCTCTCCCTCATGCTTTTTTTGTTTGTTTTTTTTTTGTTTCGCAAACCCAGAATAAATTCAGATGTTATAATTGGCATCCATGAAAAACATTATGACGGTTAACGATCTAGTAGCGTTCTTTTCAGGACGTTTTTTGTTGCACAAACCGACTACTTAATTTCAAACAAACTAAAAGGGTACCACACACACGCAGACACAAACAAACACATCCTTTTACACTTGTATAGCACTTTCTTGTATCATTTGGGTATAATTATCGCAATACTAGTTTCGGTGTCTTTAACGAACCATCACAGTTCTTGTCCTATTTTCAGTCTGATTCTACGGTGCTCTCAATTTCCAATGATAAAAAACATAATAATATCCGAATTTATCTCGATCTACCGCCTTCGCTATTTCCAATGATAACAAACATAATAATATCC